CTGCATGACTTGGCATCGACAACTTGGCCACATGAGCGAGAAGGGGATACAGATTATGGCCGCGGGAGATAGGCTTCCGGGTCTGAACAAGATCGATCTGACTTTCTGTGAGGACTGCATCCTAGGCAAACAAAAGAAGGTGAGCTTCAACAAGACCGGACCGGCTCCAAAACTGCAGAAATTGGAGTTGGTGCACACCGACGTGTGGGGACCTGCGCAAGTCCCATCTGTTGGTAACTCTCTTTACTTTGTCACTTTTATTGATAGAAAACTATGGGTGTTCTTCTTAAAGCACAAGTCAGATGTTTTCATCATCTTTAAGAAGTGGCTTGCCTGTGTGGAGAATGAAACAGGCAATAAGCTGAAGTGCCTAAAATCCGATAATGGAGGCGAGTATTGCAGCCAGGAGTTCGAGAACTTCTGCTCGTCCCGTGGGATTCGGAGACTGAAGACCGTCCCAGGCACACCTCAGCACAACGGAGTGGCGGAGCGCATGAATCGTACTATCTTGGAGCGCGCCAGAAGCATGAGGATCCATTCCGGATTGCCCAAGAGCTTTTGGGCTGAAGCTGTCAATACTGCTGCATACTTAATCAACCGCGGGCCATCCGCGGCTCTCAGTTATGGGATACCTGAGGAGACTTGGACCGAAAAGAAGCTGAAGCTAGAGCACTTATGAGTATTTGGTTGTGACGCCTATGTCATGACCAATCCTGCAGACCGGTCAAAACTTGATCCAAAGTCAAAGAAGCTCTCTTTCATCGGCTATGGAGGAGATGAGTATGGGTACCGCTTCTGGGATCACGATACGCGCAAGGTGGTGCGCAGTCGTGACGTCGTGTTCCATGAGAATGTTGTGTACAAGACCAAAGAGGTGAGTGGGAGTCAGCTATTTCCCCCTCTTTTTTCAGATATTGCTGACAGTGAGGATGGCGGTGAGATACCAATCAGCATAGAAGACGGAGACCAAGAGAACATGCCGGATGCACAGCAGCAGGATCCAGCAGAGTTACCGATCGCAATTCGCAAAGGTCCAAGAAACCCAAGGGTGCCAGGGAGGTACCTTTCTACCATGAATTACCTTCTCCTGACTGACAGTGGTGAGCCAGAGAGCTATGAGGAGGTACAGCAGACCAGCAAAGCTCGGGGCGAGTGGGAGTCTTCCATGGAGGAAGAAATGAAGTCCTTGATGAAGAATGTGACTTGGGAGCTCGTAAAGCTTCCAAGAGGGAGAAAGGCTCTTCACAATCAGTGGATTTATCGGGTCAAGGATGAAGCCGATGGACGGAGACGTTACAAGGCGAGACTTGTAGTGAAGGGCTATGAGCAGAAAGCAGGGATAGACTATTCTGACGTTTTTGCTCCCGTCGTCAAGTTGACCATAATCCGAACTATACTGAGCATTGTGGCAGTTCGAGATCTCCATCTAGAGCAGATGGATGTGAAGACGGTATTCCTTCATGGAGATTTGGAGGAGGAGATCTATATGCATCAACCAGTGCGCTTCGAGGAACGAGGCAAGGAGGGCCTCGTGTGTCGCCTGCTCAAGAGCTTGTTTGGCCTGAAGCAAGCTCCGCGACAGTGGTACATGAAGTTCGAGAACTTTATGGAGGAAACAGTTTTCTCAAATGTGACACAGATCACTGCTGCTTCATCAAGAGATATGGTGAATCCTATGTGATACTCTTAATTTATGTTGATGACATGTTGATTGCAGGGCCCGACTTGGCCCGCATTGAAGAACTCAAGGGGCGTCTCTCCGAGTGCTTCGAGATGAAGGATCTGGGTCCAGCAAACCAGATTCTAGGAATGAGGATCATCAGAGACAGATCAGCACGGAGGCTGAGGTTGTCTCAGAAGGCCTACATTGAGAAAATTCTTAAAAAGTTCAGCATGGAGAAAGCTAAAGCAGTGGGCTCGCCGTTTGCAAGCCATTTCAAGCTATCGAAGACCCAAGCACCAGAGACTGCTGAAGAGCATGAGTTCATGGCCAACATACCATACGCATCTGTCGTCGGGAGTTTGATGTATGCGATGGTGTGCACGAGGTCAGATATTTTACAAGGAGTGGGAGTTGTGAGCCGCTTTATGAGCAATCCAGGGTAACAACACTGAGGTGCGGTCAAGTGGCTTCTACGCTACTTGAGAAGCTCGTCCGACCATTGTCTTGAGTATGGCGGGGCAGATTTACAGCTAGAGGGCTTTTGTGATGCAGACTATGCCGGGGACATAGACTCGAGAAGGAGTACGAGCGGCTACATCTTCATCTTGGGTGGTGGAGCGATAAGTTGGAGATCCAAGTTACAGGATACTGTGGCTTTATCGACAACCGAAGCCGAGTACGTGTCTGCAGCAGAGGCAGTAAAGGAGTTGCTATGGTTGAAGGTTTTTATTCTCGAACTTGGAGTAAGCTTTGAGAAATACTTCATCTACTGCGATAGTCAGAGTGCCATTCACTTGTCAGAGAACGACACATTCCATGCTCGGACCAAGCATGTTGACGTGAAGCACCATGCCATACGGAGATGGCAAAGCAAGGACGAGTTCAAGCTTGTGAAGATTGATACGAGGTACAATCCAGCCGACGTGCTGACCAAGCTAGTTCCGCTCGAGAAGGTGAGGCTGTGTGCAGCCTCATATGGCATCCGTTGAGAATGTTGAGGACAGTGCAAGACGCCAAAGATACAAGACATCCGGATGATGCAACCAAGAGTGGTGTGAAGATATGATTGATACTCAATCAAATCTTCAAGTGAGAGATTGTTAGCAGCCCCAGCTAATATTTTTGACCAAGGACAAAGTTAGGCAGTGAGTTTTTCCTAATGAAACAAAAGTGTTAGGCAAAACTTAGGTGAAGTTTGAAAAAAGGGTTGTGGGTCCCACAAAGACGGGTCCCACTAATATATTTTATTTGTGCATAGTGTTTTCTCAAACACTATAAATATGATCCTAAACTCTTAAGGAAATCTCATCCCAGAAACAACTCCTCTCATAGAAGAGTAAGAGAGAAAACACAGAGAGAGATTGTGAGAGTTCTTGGAGTGTATCTGATCAAGAGAGGGTGTTCTCTTTGATCAATTCTTTTAGGATATAAAATAATTTGGCATCGTCGTTGCACCGTGGAGTAGCTCCGAAGGAGTGAACCACGTATATCTGTGAGTACTTTGGTTGATCTTGTGCCTTTATTTTGTGTATTGCATCTCCGTTAGAGGCGTTCTTATTGGGGTGTATCCTAACAGTATGTTGCGGGAAGTGCTCCTTAAGTGTTCGCCGATCTCTCCTTGGGTGGAATTTCTATATGTGCAACCCGCTAGACTGTATTTGGGGGTGGATTTCATTTGGTCTGCTCGGGGGATCCAGCAGGGGGATCCGTTAGGGCCTCTGTTGTTCGCGCTCACGCTTCATCCGTTGATTCTACGAGTGCAGGAAGAGTGCAAGTTGGCTCTTCATGCTTGGTACTTGGACGATGATTCCTTGGTCGGGGATACTTTGGAGATTGCTAAGGCATATAAGGTGATCGAGACTGAAGGCCCGAGGCTCGGGTTGGACCTCAATGTCACCAAAACTGAATTATTCTGGCCCTCACCGGATCCTAGGAGTTTGTTGGAGGGGCTTTTTCCCTTGGATATCAGTCGTCCTCGTGATGGAGAAAGGCTTTTAGGTGGAGCAGTTAGCATGGACGAGGGTTTGTTGGAGGGTTAGCAGTGAAGAGGTTGGCAAAGGAGACTCAGTTAATGGAAGCATTGGACCAACTTAGGGATCCACAGTGCGAGCTTGTCCTTTTGAGGGCTTGTGCGGGTTTGTCCAAGTTGTATTTCGCCTTGAGGACTTATCCGCCACAGCTCTTTGCTCAGGCGGAAACTCAGTTTGATATTGCGCTTCGAAGGTCAGTCGAGAGCATTGTCACATCCGAAGGATCAGGCTTTGGGGATCTCCAATGGAGGCTGGCCTCTTTACCTATCGGGTGGGTTGGGGGTCTATGCAGCGGCATATGTCATACAGTTTTCCTTTGTGGCCTCTCGGATTCACTCCATCGAGCTCCAAGACCATATTTTGAGAGGTTGTGGTGAGGTTTCTTTAGGTGGGCATTTTACTTCCGCCCTGGCCTTTCTTCAAGCCAAACTACCTGAGGTTGACCTTCTTCAAATCACCACTAAAGTGTCCAATGCATTACTTGGCAGGCATCTTTTATGGTGGCGTTTGTAGAGATCTATCGACGGAGTTTGACTTGTCAGAGAGGCATGTTATGATTGTTGAGTGCCTGCGGGCAAAGCACGCCCAGGATTTCTTGTTGGCCACGCCTATTGAGGGATTGGGGTAACGTATGACTCCGGGGGAGTACCAAGCCATCCTCAGATACAGGTTGTTGGTTCCTTTGTTCGTGGAGGGGACACTATGCCCAGTTTGTCGTAGGACGCATATGGATGCTTTCGGAGAGCATGTCATTCATTGTCAGAAGCAGCCGGGGTTCAAGTACAGACACAATTTAGTCTGAGATGTCTTGTATGATATCCTTCAAAGAGTAGGAATCCCATCAAAGAAGGAAGCGCCGGTCAACTTCCTCACTCCTCCTGGAGAGGCTAGATCTACTCTAAGGCCGGCAAATGTTCTTATTTACAGTTGAAGCGGGGGGAAGCATGCTTGTGTTGATCTCACAGGGGTATCTCCGTTGGTGGGGTTTGGTAATGGAGAGTTTAAGGTTGGACATGCAGCGAATAGAGCAACAAAGGCAAAGGTGGGCAAACATGATCAAGCTTGCAAGGACAACCACCACAACTTCATCTCGTTCGCTTTCGATACGTTTGTTTTTCTTGCAACTGATGCGGTAGAGTTTCTCAGGAGGATACAGAAATTCATGAATAAGAATGTAGCGATAACAGGGTCCGCTGAGTACGTGTTTCGTAGATTAGGTTTTGCAATTCAGAAAGGATTAGCGGCGCAACTTGTTGCCCGCTTGTCATCATCACATGTGTAATATTTCTCAATTATGATTCGTTCACTATATTAAATAAATAATTAATAATGATATAAATAATATTTTTCATAATATTCTTTTATAGAACTCTCAAATTATTTACATGAAGATGAACACAGTGGATTATGCAAATTCTCTCTGCCCTAGAATCATCTGCTCTCTACCCAAACATAAATCTCATCTCTCTTATGACTACTGTATGTACATACCTTACTCTCTCTTCACTGTTCTTGTCAGTAGAAGTAAACTTGATCTCCACTTTTCTTTTTCCATCATCTTTGAATTCTTCGTCGAAAAATACTCCAAATTTCTACATACGTAATAATCTGGTAGGCAAAAAATTCATGCACATAGGAGGACTAATCTTTGCAAGAGCAAGAAGAGAAGATGGAAGTATCCAAAGCCCATCTCCACAAATCAAACCAGAGGCGACCGCAGGAATCATAAGAGAAGCCCTCTCTCTATCAATCTTGTGCCAAGTAAACACTATCAGACTCCCAACACACATATCGATCGCGAAGCTCGCTCCGACCAAGAATGGAACGGCCATCGCCATCGGCAACGGGACCCACCTCCCATACTTTGATGGGAGTAGGTCCCTCATCAAATTAGCTGCGACAGCGAATCCGAAAAATCCATAGCAGAGCTGCAAGCAATGCTGAGGCAGCGCAGAGAAACCCTGAACACCGAGAATAGCCATGTTTCTATATATCAACGCATAAGGAGCTTTAAAATTTCCATCTGGATTTCCAATATCAAATGCTTTGTAGAAGAGGAAGAAGGTAAGAGGAGCGATGACACATCCCATGGCAGTTCCAATGGCTTGACTAAGGAGCATTGATCGAGGGGATGTTAGGGTTAGATGACCCGTTTTGAAATCGTGCATCAAGTCAGCGGAGATTGATACTACGGATTTTATTAGCCCGCAGCCTATGAGGCCTGCGACTACTCCAGAGTCTTTGCCAGCAACAGCGGCGAGAATGAAGAGGGCAACTTTGCCATAGTTGTAGGCCATGTTCATGTCTGTGAGGCCAGTACCATAAGCATTGCAAAAGCCGAGGATGGGGGCAATGATGTAGGCGATGATGACATAGTACCATTTTACCTCGGGGAACATCATGGGAATGATGATGAGGGAGATAATTGTGAAGAATATGTATCCGGAGAAGGCAAGCCGTAGAGGAATGCTTTCTTTCATGAAAACCTCATTACGTTGGATATCATCAAGGAGAGGAGTACCTGCCACTGAGAGAAGGGGGGGAAAAGAAAAAGAAAAAGAAAAAGGAGAGATCTTGAGTTGCAAGATATGAATGAAGAATTCAGGACCTGGGTTAATTTATAGTAGGGTTAATTGCGGTTAGACCCCCTGTCTTATCGCCAAATTGCGGATAGGCCCCTTTAGTTCTTTTGTTGCAAATAAACCCCCTGAATGAATTTCTTGCTAACTCTTTTACCCTCAAGAGAAAAGTGTTTTCTGACAAATAGACCCCTCTTGACGGTAAAAGAGTAAAAAAACATTCACTCAAGGGGTCCATCCGCAACTAGGCAATAATATGGTGGGTTTATCCGCAACAATGGAATTATAGAGGGTCTATCCGCAACAATAGAATTACAGGGGATCCATTCGCGATTAGGTGATAGTTCAGGGGGTCTATCTCCAACTAACCCTTTATTGTATATTCAATGGTCAAATTTTCTAAAGACATAAGATACGCAATGGGATGGTAAAAACAATGTCAGATTGCATCCTTCAATGACATGTAGCAGCTGGAGGAATATATAAAAGCGTAAGTTTAATATATGAAAAGCTATACCAATACATTAAGTAGAAAATTTATATTTAGATAAGATGAGAACTTTATCAATAAATTTTAAGCCTGCTTGTCCAAGTTAAACCATAGATAGCTATATATTTGCTAAATCAAACCCTACAATATAAACTAGAAACAATCTCTTCGCTTACTCCTAATGATATTTATCACTTTTAGGTTTGAGTCTTTTGACTCAGCTTCAGAAAATAGCCTACTTTATGTGATCTATGTAAGAGCTATGCGTGTTAACATATACCAAAAATTTTAAGCATGGTCATTTGGCATTTTACCTTTTTGAAGGTTTCTACATCTTGATCGAGAATGAATACTTCTTGCAGTAAAAGCAAGAACCTTGAGGAAGTTGTAGAGCCCGTCTCCAAGTATAAGTGCAATTGAGATGAAAACCTAATAGAAAAAAACATATGCATAAGTAAAATGGCATGATCATTCAGAATTCTGAGTACATTATACTAGTAGTTTGTACATACGACCTTATAGCCCTGCAAACTTCTCATACTACTTTCCGGTAAGCTTTCAGGGTACCAAGTCCCTTTGAGCTCACTTATCAAGGGCCACATCATTCCCCATGAAAGAATTGCTCCAAGAAGAAGAGAGAGATTCACAAGATGAGAGCAAATCATCCCAGCTCCAACATATGTGAGGCTGAAATCAAAGAAGAATCTGTACCAATACGAGTTAAGACTATACCCTTTTGATGAATTCAAAACAAACATAAGCTGAAACTAATTGATGAGACATACGTCTGTTTCCAAGCTTTAAGGCCAAATGTTGGGAACTGTGAAAATCCACACACATCTCCTCCTGAGTAGAACCACTCGAAGAAACTCCAGATGAAGCTGACAGTAAAGAACTTCGTGAAACCATGCACTTGGCTCCTAAAGAAGTGAAATTTTCAGTTGTGTAAAACTAGAAATGATGATGGTTTTCTTTGTGGAGGAAAAGGTAAGTTAGTGCCTACTTCGCCATTTTATCTCCATGAGGAGTATGAAAACCATTGATGAGAACAGCAGTGGCAGTGCCGCTTGGATAAGTCAATTTGTAGTCAATTATCATTATCTGTGAGCAAAGGAGATTATACGTGTCAAACTCGTGCAAGATTCTGGAAACAAAATGTGAGGAAAGTGATTTATTACCATTGACATAGGTCAGTTTCCAAAAGAATTTAGTGTCAGTTTGATGTTAAGTTTATGAAATGTTATATGTGTGGCACATATTTGATGTGAATTTTTGTTGAGAAGCTAATGTAATTGAGGGATATTGGAGGGCTTATATGTAAATGTGTGTAAGGCTATATAAGCCAAAACTATTCTATCAATAGTTGAGATCCTTTTGAGCCCTAACTTTTGAATATGGGGACAAGCAGTCTTGACTGCTGCTCACTTAATCAACAGGATGCCTTCGAGTGTGTTGAAGTGGAAGTCACCCCGTGAGCGAAGCTGCTGTTGCTGCCATTTCCCAGCGATGGAGAGAGCTAGGATTTCTTGGAAGCTTGGCTGTTTGAAGGACGAGATGGGAACCTTGGCTGTTTGAAGGACGAGAGAAGATGGCCAGGGAAGAGAAGATGGCCAGGACGTGCTGATTAGATCCAAGAGAAGAAGAAAAAAAATAAAGGGGATCTGTAATCTGTATTAGATGACTCTTTTTTCTTTTCTCGAATTGTAATAGCTTGTTTAGGTTCCCTCGACAGGTCAGTCCTCGAACTGATGAGAGGAAAAGCTGATATCTCACATTGTTGAGATATCTTGCTTTTGGTTCTTGTTTCCTTAGTAAAATAGGAATTCTTGTTGATCAAACTCTCTTGTTGTGTTGCGCACCACGAAGGGGAGGAGGAAGAGACAAGGGGTGTTAGGCCTACAGATCAGGGGGATTTGCTTACATACAGTAGGAGGGGGAAGGAGCCAGAGGTGCCTATAGTAACAGTGTCAGTGCCTAGTCCCTCGTCCAGCTCTGCTCTAACTCCTGAGATACCTACACCACCCTCCACTCTAGATAATACCATTCCTACTCCTGCCCCTCTCGCTGCACCAATGTCAGAGAGAAGGACTACTCGTAGTAATGCGGGAAATCCCTCTAAGAGATATGGTTGTGATCTAGCTCAATTTATTTCCTATTCTCACATATCTTCTTCACACGGAGCATTCATTGCATCATTAGATTCTGTTATTATACCTAACAACTGGCAGGAGGCTAAGAAGGACCCAAAGTGGAAGGCAGCTATGCATGAGGAGCTGGGGGCTCTTGAAAAGAACCACACGTGGGAATTAGCGACATTGCCAGCGGGGAAAAGAACAGTAGGATGCAAATGGGTGTTTGCCGTGAAGCAGAATCCAGAAGGGAAGGTTGAACGATACAAGGCACGACTGGTGGCAAAAGGGTACCGCCAGACATACGGCATTGACTATGATGAAACTTTTGCACCAATGGCGAAGATGAGTACTGTTCGGACGTTGATTTCTTTGGCAGCAAATGGTGGATGGGAACTACACCAACTGGATGTGAAGAATGCATTTCTACATGGAGATCTAGTGAAAGAGGTGTATATGGAGATACCACCTGGATGTGGCACAGGACAGACAGTAGGAAAGGTCTGCAGGCTGAAGAAGTCTTTGTATGGGCTGAAGCAGTCCCCTCGAGCATGGTTTGACAGGTTCAGGAGAGCCATGATTGGTATGGGGTACAGACAGATTAATGCCGACCATACTGTATTTTTCAGAAAAAGTGGGGATCACATCACTATGCTGACAGTGTATGTGGATGACATGATCATCACTGGGGATGATGAGAAGGAGATTGCTCAGCTCAAGGTGAGATTGAGCAAAGAATTCGAAGTGAAGGATCTGGGTCAGCTTAAATACTTTCTTGGGATAGAGATAGCTCATGGACCTAAGGGGATTGTTCTCTCCCAGAAAAAATATGCACTGGATCTTCTTACAGAAACGGGGATGTTAGGGTGCAAGCCTACTGCTACACCAATTGATCAGAGTCTCAGGCTGAGTGCTGAGGCAGGAGAACCAGTTGATCGTGAGAGATATCAGAGATTGGTGGGCAGGCTAATCTACCTGAGTCACACACGTCCAGACATCTCATTTGCAGTAAGCGTGGTGAGCCGCTACATGCATGAATCTGAAGGGGGCCCCTGGCAAAGGACTAAGATTCAAGAGGAGTGGCCATGTGAACATTGAGGGCTACTGTGACTCAGATTGAGCTAGTTGTGGAGATGATCGGAGGTCTACCTCAGGGTATTGCATATTTGTAGGAGGTAACTTAGTCTCCTGGAAAAGCAAGAAGCAATCTGTGGTGGCGAGATCAACAGCTGAAGCAGAGTACAGAGCCATGGCCTTGGGAGTTGCGGAGTTGATGTGGCTGAAGAGCATGCTGGTAGAGCTGAATCTTGACCAAGGGGCCAAGATGAGTTTGTGGTGTGACAACAAGTCAACTATTAGCATCGCCAACAACCCAGTTCAGCATGACAGAACGAAACACATTGAGATTGATAGATTCTTCATCAAGGAGAAGCTGAACAGTGGGCTACTGGAGTTAGGTCATGTTCCAACTAAGGAGCAGGCTGCAGGCTGCAGACTGCTTGACTAAAGGACTTAGCTCAGTAGATCTAGCCAGAGGGTGTGACAAGATGGGCTTAGTAGACATCTTTCGCCCATCTTGAGGAGGAGTGTTGAGAAGCTAATGTAATTGAGGGATATTGGAGGGCTTATATGTAAATGTGTGTAAGGCTATATAAGCCAAAACTATTCTATCAATAGTTGAGATCCTTTTGAGCCCTAACTTTTGAATAATTTTGATTTGCATCATAAATCAAATTATTCTTTGTCAAATTGGAGTTGTCAATTGAATAGGACTTGAAATTAAAAAAAAGTTATGAAAATGATAAGACACAGTCTTGCGAGTAGCTGAGGACCTATCATCAAGCCTCATTCACTAACAGCCACTCGTGGACACAGAAAAACTTTCTTAGGGGGCGGAAGTACCTATTTATCCAAAAATTAAAGTGTAATATTATAAAACAACATTCTTTAAAAAATAGACTAAATTTTCAAATTAAATAGCCTAAAACTCAACTGGGTTGCAAATATTTTTTAGTTACAAGGGGCAAATTGTAAATTTACAATATTATAGAATGTAAATTTGCAGAATCTTAGGAGTGCAATTGCCCTTCTAAGACAATATATGAATCCACCAATGCTAACAGCCAATAAATAAAAAAGGAAATGCTGAGATATCACTATTAGATGTTGATGAACCATATGAAGTTTCCCTTTGTATATAATTACTGGCCATACAAGTTGAATGTTCCTTTCGGTGATAGATACTTGCATTCCATTATCATTAAGGAATACATATACAGAATCAGACATAAGAAAAAGAGAAAGTTTCTTAAATTTGGATGATCTATAGCATAGCAGCATATAAATTTGTTGGCCCGCATAATTAAGTTTCAAACTACAAACTGGATCAAAATAGTATTACCTATCAAGTAAGTATGAACTGTCAGTACTAATTTGGGTGAAATATAGCACAACATCACGTAAATTTGTTGGTCCACGTAGTTACGTACAAACCAGCAACTAGAAAATACAAATACTCCTTTAAAGAAACATCACATATATACGCCTGGTGATAAAGTCCACATAATTACGTATAAACTTGATGCAGTCAAATATGAATACCATGTCTGCGATGTCAATTCTATCATTTTCAATGGTCTGATCAATGACCCATAAAATTGTGTACAGAAAATAAATTATTGAACATGACAACAGAGCTGATGGGATGCTAATCACAGCCTACAGCTTTCATGAAAGTTACTTGACAAAAGCATCCTATCGCAAGTGACCAATATAATGTCACTGAATATATATTACTTGCAAGTTACTAGTTACAAGCATATAGACCAGAGTTTCATTAATCTACAAGAAAGGACATAGTCTAAAGTTGCAGTTAGGGTTGAGGGTTGATAATTGTATAGGGCTAACTCCAGAGAAACCCACAGTAGTCCTTTGTTGCAGATAGACTCCCCAAGTAAAATTGTTCATACTCTTATCCTTAAAAGAGTGAAAATTGTTTTTTCGACAGATAGATCTCCTGAGGGTAAAACGGTCAAACAAATTCACTCAGGGGGTCAATTTATAACAATAGAACTACAGGAGGCCTATCTGCAATTGGAGATAGTACAGAGGGTCTATCTGCAATTGGGCATAGTACATGGGGCCTATCCACAATTAACCCAATTTTATACCCTAACATGCCCCCGCAGGCCGAGCGCCCTTTTTATGGGTAGAAACCATGACTCACGCGGTGGTATCTTCTTTCTAATTTCGCTTTAATACATGGTCAGTGAAATTAATAGAATTACATCATGAGTAGAATTGTATATTTTTTATATGCAGTTCCTTAACAGACTCAATCTGTAGCAAATGACCTGTATAAAACTAATAGAATTACATGAACGAAGTCCTGAATTTCATCAATCTAAAAGAAGCAAGTACCTTTCTCAAAGGAACCAAGGTAAGAATCCCAACAAAACTAACAACAAACATGAATCCAGTCATCCAACCAATCCCAGGCTCCTTATAACTCCCCGGTGCGTTCCCTTCTGTGTCGATCCCAGCTTGTTCATATGTCTTCTTGTTCAATCCCAACATATAAGACCCAAACCCCCCTGCAACCAGACAAAACCAATAAACACCCAAATCTCAAAAATCCAATCAAGATTCACCCAAATTTCAACCAAAATCAAATTCTTCACCTCCGACGGCGATGCTATAGCAGGCAACTGCGCAAGTCTGGACCACGGTGTTCTCCTGCCGGGTGAAAGGTTCAGTGACAATGCCGAGCTTGTGAAGGAGTTCAGTCCAAGTTCTAAGGAAGACGAAGGCGAGGAGAGCGGCAGAAACATTGAGGGTAGGGACGAGGCCGGTGGTCAAGTTCAGTTTCATCACAATGACGCTGTATATAACTCCGATGATGAGGCTCGCCACGAGGCCTCGGGGCGTTAGTTGTTTCGACCACGGAGGGAGATTTTCTGAGTCTAAGGACTGTAATTTTTCAAGGGGGTCTTCTAGATTGAGGTCTTTGTCCATTCCTTGGGTTTGGTTTGGTTCTTCCTTCATTTATGGTAAACACTGAGTTGGGTATTGATTACTATACTTTCAATTGACTGCTTGATCCTTCTTTTAAGTCTGTTCATTGAAAATAATTAAACAGAATTGATGATTAAATTTGGGGGAAAGTAAGAAAGACCCATGCAATAGAATTTGATTAGACCAAACAAAAGGATCACATGGACGCATCAAAAGCGTTAAAGAACAAATGGGCATGCCTCTTCTAGTTCAACATGCCACTAACAAATTGAAGAAAATTTCCAGATTAATTTCAAGTATTGAGCTGGAATTTTCACTTGCATCACGAGTAGAAGAGAAACTAATGAAACCCTCTACGAAATTCAAGAAAATAAAGTTAACCCACATAAAAATTAATCAGCAAGAAAATTTAAAACCAGCAGCTGGAGAGCTCACCTGCGTATATGATCAACTTCCTCAGGTAAAAACTCGAAGACGATTGAAATGAGATCTTAAAAAGGACAGGATTTTTGCGCTGTGACGTGCTTTGAGGAGCACAATCAGCATTCAACAATCAAAAGTGCAAATTGCTCAAAAAAATATATAAAAGAATCAAAGGAGACAAATGGGTTCCTTGTCCACTCCCTCTTTCTCTTCACTTGCACAGCACGAGTCACTGATAACAATGTATATATATAAAGGAGTGTGGCAGGGACAAAATATGCAAATTTGGTGTTTATGAGGTGCGAGCATCAAACGCAATTAAAAAGTGCTTTTTCTATATTAGGGGCTGTTTGGTTGTATGGTTTTACCATGTAAAATGATGGAAAATGTAAAAAAAAATGGGTCCTAATGTCAGCTTTCATCACTTTCAATTGTTTGTTTGTAGTTGTGAAAATAGTTTAAAGTGATTTCATATGCTGATGTGGCTTGTAAAGTGATTTCATAAAAAAAGATATGATTTTGGGAGAAAGCTGACATTGGAGTCAGAAAAAAATAATAAAAAATAATTCCAACCAATATGATCATTTGAGTAGGGATCACTTTTTACACTTTTCAAACAAACAATTAAAGTTATATTTGCAAACAAAACAAGCAATTTATGATTCCAATGGAATAAAAAACAAACAAAGAAAAGTATAAAAGTGAAATTGATGAGGTGGACAATAACTTTCTAAGTTGTGTCATAAATACACAACTTTACCAACAACAACCAAACAGCCCCTTAGTCTCTTAAATCTTTCATAACTTCTAAATTAGTTCCTTTAATCCTTGAAATTGCCACTAGGTCCCCCAATTGAAAGTGCTATTGCATTCCGAATCAAGAGAAGTGACGGAAAGATAAGGGGCTGTTTAGTTGGCATTTTTTACCCTTGTTTTCCTGCCAAAACTGGCAAAATTGTTAGTTTTGACAGCTTTACTTGCAAAAAAGCCTCAAAATGAGGCGTTTTTGCAAGTAAAGCTGCCAAAACTGACATTTTGAGGCTTTTTTGCAAGTAAAGCTGTCAAAACTAACAATTTTGCCAGTTTTGGCAGGGAAACCCAAACAAAAAAACCAACCAAACAACCCCTAAAAGACTTATGGGACCTAAATCTAATAATAAGTTCTATGATCCTGGGGACTGGTTTCAAAATATTACGGAACGAATGACTAATGCAAGAAAACTCTAACGTACACACTCATGTGGAAGGGATAAAATGTGAAAGTTTCATATTTGTAAGGGGTGAGAATGAAAACGCAGTTGACAGGTGAAGTGGGCCAACCGGCGCATGGCTTCAACGCGCCCCAATGATATCAGCAGATAGCATTTTATGCCAATTGACGCATAGAGGTTTCTATGAGTGTAACGTTATGTCCGCCGTCGAACTTCGAAGCTTCCATAATTGAGTTGTAATGGACGGCGAGGATATTTCTATGGTGGTATCCAATGAGAGAGAGGGTGAAGATGCTGCCGTCAGTCGCGTGGACTTCTCAGGTAGCGAGAAGCCGAGACCAGGGGTGGAAAAAATATCAGTATCCGCAGATAAATCTCTATCAGGATATGGATATAATTATTAAATGAGATTAATGGGTATCTTTGTCATAGGAGGGGATTTCTTTCATTGTCGCCTATGTGGCACAATCCCCACCATCCTCATAAAGTAGGTGCCTACTTTATGATGATGGTGGGGATTGTGCCACATAGGTGACAATGAGGGAAATCTCCTCCTATGACAATGATACACATTAATCTCTTATTAAATATATACATCTATTCCTCTATTATTCCTCTATAATAATAGTAGGATCCAAAGATTTACTATTTATGTTATAGTAAATGATACAGTAAATCACTGTAGCACATTCGGGAAATGCAGTATCGTAAAAAATTACTGTAGCATTATGACCGTAGCACAAGCGGAATACTGTAGCATTTAAAAAATGTTACCGTGGCACTTACAAAAACGTTTAAAAACAGAATTACTGTAGCGGAAATAAAAAATGAGGGTCGTGCTTCACGGGGTGCACACTAGTCTGAAGGAATATGATTACACAGACAAATAGCTAGTTTAAATTGGTTTTGGCTTTCAAAATTATAAAATTTATTCATCTCACCCCTAAGACTTTTTCAAACCTTCAAAAATCTTCAAAAATTTGTTTAGCCCCGTCATCCCGTTCCCATGTGTCACGCCCCACTTCCCAAAATACCAAGGAACCGAGACGCGAACAAGCCCGCAACGTATTAGATTAAGGAGAATAAATAAAATTAAACATTTCTCCTCAACCTAATACGCTAAGCGTCAAGAAATAAATGCAAAGGCACAGATCCTCGATCACAGTAACGACAATATAATGAACAACTCAACACAAAAAAAAGACATATCACAAATAGTATATCATCCGAGACATAAGTTTGGGTCAAACATGCCCTTATTACAAAACAGTCCAACTAAAATAAGAAAATACAGAGTCCAACAAAATAAGAAGGAAGTACTGCAAAAATAACTAAGTCCCTCGAAAGACTAAAGGATAAGGTACTACATAAGTAATATAGTGTCCATCAGTGCCTACGTAAAAGAAAAGGCTAAGCTTCCGTCAGTTCTTCTGTTCCACCTGGAAGACACTCTAGCTAGGCATACTCCTGCTCTAATGCATCATCATACTGGACCTGTCCGTCCTCTAAATCTGACGTATACCAGAAAAAACAGGTGTACGTCAGCGTGTATAGCACACGACAAGATCCCAAAAGGAAAGTAGAAACGATCGAACGACCAATGCAAGAACAATAATAATAATAATAGTAATAATCTAAATGAAATCCACCACTAGAATATAATAATCAGAAGAATCCAAAAATTGATCAGGTAATGAGGTCATGTAACTAGTCATCCTATAACAGGTCACTGGTACACATCTCACACAGAATCAATATTCATATTCTCGGATATATGACTGTTACACAAATTCCCTACATGCTTCCAATAGGACTCCACGCAAACCGATTCGGCCTGGTTCGAACTCCAGCCGACTCGGGTGAATATCACATTCACGAACCCAAGTGACGCAACAAACCTTCGCTGTGGTCCATCAAACCAACCCCAGTTCGAAACAAACCTAACTGGTGCGAGTCTGGAAGATAAATCAACAGCCATATCCGATCACATGAACCATGACTTCCCCATCCCAACTCTTTTGTTTATCCAGATCAACATACACACAGGTTTCTAAGTCTTAAACAAGACATACCAGGCCACACTAGTCATGAATTTCTAACGGTTCTCAAACGTAACAAAGAGTAATAAATGCAACTAATCATATACAACAATATCATAGCATATCACATAATTAAAATTAAGAAACATAAATCATGAATAATTCATAATAATCCCTTTTCTAAAATAAATCCTTTAAAATGATTTATAAATGTTATAAAATAATTCCTTTTATAAAACTCTCTTAAATTATTGAAATTATTCTAAATTGATACTTATTCTAAAATAAATTCTTTTAAATTATTTATAATTATTCTAAAATAATTCTTTTGTCAAATAATTTCTATTAATTTATTATAATTACTCTAAAATGATTTTTCACCAAAATAATTTATTATATTATTTTAAAATAATTATTTTGTCAAATAATTTCTTTAAAATTATAAATTAATCTAAAATAATTTTATTTTATTTTATCTTTATAGTATCTATTACCACAATATTATTTTTTTGTACTTTTTAATATCATTCGTCAAATAAATCTGTGTAGGTCATTACAGTATATGTATTACAACGTGAATGGTCATACGTTATTGTTCACAGTCCATTTCGTTCATGACAGTTCTACAATTGTAACGGTCATACGTTATAGTTCTCAGTTTAATATGTTCACGACAGTTCTATATTTGTAACGAATAATTGTTCGAGAAATGAGATCTTATGCATAATTAATCTATGATCCATCTAAAATTGTACTGATCAAGAATAGGGATCTTGCAAGCAACTAATTAATTCAAAGCGGATCTAAGAATTGAATGATAAGTCAAGAGAGTATCGGAATCTTGCCTCGGGTTATTGTCGGATGATTCAACGTTACAGTATGAGGCTACGTGTCTACGGATAAGGCGGCGATGTCGCTATTTTCTGTTCGCTGTTTCGGTGATGTGCGCAGTGGTTCGAGTCAGCGACGAGGAGAGGTGAAGGTGATGGAGGAGCTGCAGCGGTGTAGGAGAGCGGCGGTAAGGATTCGAGCAACGGCGTTGTCGTCGGTGGAGCTTGGGTTGATGGGTGTGGCTGCTGTCAGCGGTGAAGGGAAGAGGAGAGAGGAGGCGATCAGGAGGAGGGCGAAGGGGGGCGGGTGAGGCTTGGGCTGCAGGGGAGATACTCAAGCGACGGCGAGCGGGTGGTCGAGCTGGGCGAGGCAGAGCTCGCTGGTGGCGTTCGAGCTGACGCGGATTCGAGCTCAGGGGGAGGGCGTCAGCTGAGGATCTTGGGCGGCGAGCTCAGGTTGTGGTGGGGATCTGAGTTTGAGAGCTTGGGTCTGGAGCGGAGCTGGTGGCGTCGGAGAGAGGACGAGGAGGAGCTCGTGTGGCGGGGTTCGAGCTAGGCTGTGAGTTGAGGGACTGGTGAGGCGGCCGTTCTTGCTAGGCAAAGCGGTGAGGGGTCGGTGATGATGATGAAGAGAGGGGGAAGAGAAGAGACTGAGATGAGATGAAGAAGAGAATGGGAGAGAGTGAGCTGATGGGAGGAGAGAGAGAGAGAGAGGAGAGAAGAGAGAGAGAGAGAGAGAGAAGAGAGAGAGAGATTGTGAGCACCGAGAGGGAGAGGTGAGGGTTTAAATAAAAAAATTTAATAATAAAAAATTTAAGATATGATTGATGATGAGCTGCTTAGTCTAAGTTTACGGTGCGCGTGGACAGCCGTTTTCTTGGAAAAGTGAGGAGAGAGAGAACATGATTAGGGGGAATGGTTGTTGGGGGTTTGACGTGAAGCAAAATTTTGGATTATTTTCAAATGGGTTCAGGTATTTAAACGAAAATAATTAATAAAAATATAATTATTTTTTTAAATTAAATAATTATGGGAAAATTATTTACAAAATAAAACGTAATAGTTATACTAATACAACGGATAATACTCAATAGTAGTAATAATACAACAAATTGTACAAAATAATAC